GTTTCCTGGCTTTAAGCAAAGTTCCTTGGCATTTCTTTGATTTAAGTTAAAACTGGTTTTCTTAATAGTAATTTTTTAAGTTACAAAAAAAAAGTTTCAGGAAGAAAAAATCTATTCAATGACTGCAGTAAGATATATAGCCCCAGCTAGGTGCTACTTTATAGGATGCATAAAGTTAGACTTGTGTTCATGGAAATGTATATATCACCTGTGTTTACTATGAAAATATTTAGATTAATTAAGGTCTTTAGTAATTCAATAAAATATGGGGGAGAAACAGTATAGAAAGCAAACATAGATACCAGAGTCAGTGTGGGAGGAGAGTGGGAGATGACAGAGGGTAAGAGATAGGGAATCAAGGATGGGGGGTGAGCAAAACATACAGAAAAGAAGAAATGGAAAATTATTTGCTGACAATAACATGTTTGCTGATGTGCTTAATTGAGACAATATACAGCGTACTCTGGATGGAAAACCTCATTTTGTATGTTGTAATGATGTACAGTGAATGAATGCAAATAAATAAAAAAAAATGAAACAAAAAAGATATCCCATGTTCCTGGATTGGGAGAATTGATATAATCAAAATGGCAATCCTACCCAAATTAATCTACATATTTAATGCAATTCCTATAACATTATAAAAGACATTCTTCACAGATCTAGAAATGACAATCATAGAATTCATCCAGAATCATCAAAACAGGGAACCAGCAGTTGGCTGGTAATGGCTTTGTCACTGGACTCCCATGTAGTCCACCGCGGTTTAAGTTCTGAACCTGGTGGATTAAACTCACACTGGGCACGAGTGTGTGTGTGCCCAAGATCCTGAGAGAAGAATGGAGGAGAAGGGATTGCAGTGGCCATCCCCCCTGGGGGGTGATTTCTCACTTTCTGTCTGTCTCTCTGTCTTTCTGGCAAGCACACTCACCCTATAGCAAAAACCTCTCAAAAAAAAAAAAATCAAAACAGCATGGTATTGGCACAAAAACAGATATCAGGACCAATGGAACACAGTAGAGACCCCAGAATAAGCCTCAAACCATATAGTCAACTGATCTTTGACAAAGGGTACCAGTCAATCCAATGGAAAACAGAAAACATCTTTAGCAAATGGTGTTGGAAAAACAGGATATCTACCTGCAGAAAGATGAATCTATACCCCAAAATCTCAATATTAACAAAAATCAACTGGAAGTGGATCAAAGATCTAAACCTAAGACCTCAAACTATAAAACTACTGATGGAAAACACTTGGGAAACTCTGGGAGACATTGGAGTAGGCAGAGACTTCTTAAGCAAGACCCCCCCACAAAGCACAGGCAACAAACCCCGAAGTAGACAAGTGCGGTTATATTAGATTAAAAATTCTGTGCACAAGAAAAGACACAGTAATTAGTGTAAATCAACAACCCTCGAAATGGCAGAAAATTTTTGTAAACTATGCCTCAGATAAGGGACGGATGACCAGAATAGACAAGGAACTCAAGTGGTTTACCTAGAAGAAAATGATTAACCCAATTAAAAGATGGGAAAATGAGCTGAACAAACAATTTTCTAAGGAAGACATATGAATAGACACATGAACAGCCAAAAAGCATATGAAAAAATTCTCAGTATCTCTCATCATAAGGGAGATGCAGATCAAAACTACAATGAGATACCATCTAACCCCAGTCAAAATGGCAAAGACTGAAAAAAAGCAAAAAGAAAAAAAGATAAGTGCTGGCAGGGATATGGTGAAAGGTGAATTCTCTTACAGAGGCAGAACTGAATCAAGTAATCCTCCTTACCATAGCCACAAAAAGTAGGCAAATAGACCCCATTCATTGCTCACATTGGGAATGTAAATCAGTCCAGTTACTACTGTGAACAAAGACCTTCAAATAGAACTACCATATGATCCAGCAATTCTACTCCTGGGTATCTAGTCAAAGGACAGGAGAACACTCTGTCAGAAAAGCACTTGCACATCTATACTTATTGTGGCATTATTCACAATTGCTAAGACATGGAACCAACCCAAATGTCCACAAAAAGATGAATGGGTTGAAAAAGTGTGGCACATATACTCCATGGAATACTATTCAGTCATTAAAAAAACAAAAACAAAAACAAAAACAAACAAACAAAAAAAACCAAGACCTGGCATTTGATAGAAAGTGGAAGCAAGTCAGGCTATGAAACAGAGACACTGTATGTCTCCAGTTAACATATACCAACTCTCCACTCTCTATGGTAGAGACTGAAAGACTGGAAAACATAAAAGCATTGAAAATTGTTATGGACACTGGGGACAAAGTGGAAGGAAAGTGGTAGAGTGAAAGAGTGCAGGGAAGGAAATCTGGGGGAAAAATAGAGAGGTAAGACATTTGAGGAACACAGACATGGTTTATTACCTGTTGATGATGATATGTGTAGTATTCTCAATTGGACTGGTTTGAGGTGTATATCATGCTGGATAAAGTCTCTTTGCAATCTAAATGATGTATAGTAATTGAATGTATAAACAATAATAATAAAAACATCCAAGTGAAATTCCTAGGTATGAATTGTTAAGACCATGTCATCTCATTCCAAAGACAGATGCTATGCTTCTGGGTCTCTTTGGCCCCACAAATAAAACAATGTGACCAGTTGGTGGAGTCTAGTCAGCTATTGCCATATTCAAATTCAGGACGTGAAGATTGGATAGCACCTCTTAGGTTACCATGAAGACCAGTAATTTTGAATGGGGCCCTGACAAACATGATGTCCCAGAGATACTTCAACTGGCCACCCTGGCTGCCCTTCCCTGAACTCCTCTGATTTCTGTTTCCAGTTTCACTTACAGACCTCAACAGAAGTTCTGTTTGCTGACTGGAGCCAATGGAAGAAGGACACTGCAACAGATCAGAGGTGCCCAACAGGTTTTGGACCCATAAGCTACCAAAGTCAGCTGAAAGATACCTGTTCTTTATGAAACAATTATTGGCTATTGTTCTTGGTGGAAACTGACAGCACAACCTTGGTTGTGTAATAATCTTATGGCAATTTTTAACCAAAACTTCAATACCTTTGATTTCCTTACTTGAGCTATGTTAGGGGTGTTAACATTTTAGGTTTAAGTATAAATGTTTTGTAAAATATATACTTAGATACCAAAGAAAAAATATTTTCTAATTGGTTTAATCTAAAAAACAAATAAAATTAGCTATAGGCCTAGTCACAGTGGCACATGCTGGTAAATGTTGTTGCTCTCTAAGTTGAAGCCACAATGGAGACCAGGTTCAATGTCTAGCCCACCCTAGAAGTGCCTATAGTCCCGTCTACGTGGTGGGCTGAAGCAGGACGATTGTAACACAGCGAGGCCCCACCTTGACATTTTTTTTTTTAAATAGATGTAATTATACTTACTACTGGGGTTTTTTCCTCTGGTTGTTTTTTGTTTCCTTAATTGCAACTGAGTATGTGACACTGAATCTTCAGGTTGAAGCACAAGATTTTCATCAGATATGTCATTATAAACTATGTTAAGAAAGAAATTTAGTCCCTTAATAGAAAAATAGATTATAAAATATCTAGATTTCAAATTAATAAGTGACAACAACTTTCTCATTTTATAAAATTAAAAGTAAGTTATCATAATGCTAGATCTGACATAAAAATTAGAACATTTTTAATGTGAGTTAAAGAAGTATCACAAGTATATTATTTCATAAGTATTCCTAAACATCAAATGTGGTTTATATTATTCTCTAATTTTCCAAAGTTATTTATACTTCAGGTTAATGCATATATATTTATACAATAAGCAATGAAACATATATGTGAAAGGTTATTCATTGTAGTATTATTTACATTACAAAGTACTTAAAATCATCAAAATATTTGAGCATAGATTAGTTGAATGACTGGGGACAAAGTGGAAGGAAAGTGGTAGAGTGAAAGAGTGCAGGGAAGGAAATCTGGGGGAAAAATAGAGAGGTAAGACATTTGAGGAACACAGACATGGTTTATTACCTGTTGATGATGATATGTGTAGTATTCTCAATTGGACTGGTTTGAGGTGTATATCATGCTGGATAAAGTCTCTTTGCAATCTAAATGATGTATAGTAATTGAATGTATAAACAATAATAATAAAAACATCCAAGTGAAATTCCTAGGTATGAATTGTTAAGACCATGTCATCTCATTCCAAAGACAGATGCTATGCTTCTGGGTCTCTTTGGCCCCACAAATAAAACAATGTGACCAGTTGGTGGAGTCTAGTCAGCTATTGCCATATTCAAATTCAGGACGTGAAGATTGGATAGCACCTCTTAGGTTACCATGAAGACCAGTAATTTTGAATGGGGCCCTGACAAACATGATGTCCCAGAGATACTTCAACTGGCCACCCTGGCTGCCCTTCCCTGAACTCCTCTGATTTCTGTTTCCAGTTTCACTTACAGACCTCAACAGAAGTTCTGTTTGCTGACTGGAGCCAATGGAAGAAGGACACTGCAACAGATCAGAGGTGCCCAACAGGTTTTGGACCCATAAGCTACCAAAGTCAGCTGAAAGATACCTGTTCTTTATGAAACAATTATTGGCTATTGTTCTTGGTGGAAACTGACAGCACAACCTTGGTTGTGTAATAATCTTATGGCAATTTTTAACCAAAACTTCAATACCTTTGATTTCCTTACTTGAGCTATGTTAGGGGTGTTAACATTTTAGGTTTAAGTATAAATGTTTTGTAAAATATATACTTAGATACCAAAGAAAAAATATTTTCTAATTGGTTTAATCTAAAAAACAAATAAAATTAGCTATAGGCCTAGTCACAGTGGCACATGCTGGTAAATGTTGTTGCTCTCTAAGTTGAAGCCACAATGGAGACCAGGTTCAATGTCTAGCCCACCCTAGAAGTGCCTATAGTCCCGTCTACGTGGTGGGCTGAAGCAGGACGATTGTAACACAGCGAGGCCCCACCTTGACATTTTTTTTTTTTAAATAGATGTAATTATACTTACTACTGGGGTTTTTTCCTCTGGTTGTTTTTTGTTTCCTTAATTGCAACTGAGTATGTGACACTGAATCTTCAGGTTGAAGCACAAGATTTTCATCAGATATGTCATTATAAACTATGTTAAGAAAGAAATTTAGTCCCTTAATAGAAAAATAGATTATAAAATATCTAGATTTCAAATTAATAAGTGACAACAACTTTCTCATTTTATAAAATTAAAAGTAAGTTATCATAATGCTAGATCTGACATAAAAATTAGAACATTTTTAATGTGAGTTAAAGAAGTATCACAAGTATATTATTTCATAAGTATTCCTAAACATCAAATGTGGTTTATATTATTCTCTAATTTTCCAAAGTTATTTATACTTCAGGTTAATGCATATATATTTATACAATAAGCAATGAAACATATATGTGAAAGGTTATTCATTGTAGTATTATTTACATTACAAAGTACTTAAAATCATCAAAATATTTGAGCATAGATTAGTTGAATGAACTAACACTAGGATAGTATCAGTGATAGTTTATAATGGTGTGTATATAAATAAAAGTACGTGTTGACAACATAGACAAACAACTGTGCATACAGTGAGACATTCCCCTCCCGACTGTGCTAATACATCTGGTCCTTGCAACATGTCAATTCATGAAAAAAATATTGTTGGAGTCAGTGCCCTTCCTTGTTAAGATTCTTATTTATGTTGTCACAGTAAGTGAATAAACGCCTAAATATTACTTTCAATTTAACTTATTGTCTTGACACCTTCACACCTGGTAGCTATCTTGATGGCAAATGGCTGTGAATAGGGAGCCAATGAGCACAATTCCTTTCTGTAAAAGCAAAAAGCATGAAGATTCCTCAGGACATTTTGGGGAGATGCTAGAGTTCATAGGGTCTTTCGGAGGTACTAGTCTGATTCATTTGCAAGAGAGTAGGGTCTCATGGGTGAACGTTACCAGCCATGTCAATGGGTCCAGGGAGTGCTCTCCAATGTCATAGAGCCCTCTTGGAGAATACTAGGAGACTATTTATGTAAGCTTTGTGGTTTTGAGAGTTACCGATGGTCCTTCTCTTATGCCCCAGATCCTTTGGATGAGATGGCTGGTGGGTCAAATTAGAAATCAAACAGAAAGGCCCTGGGTAAAATTAGGGACAATTGCTTTGCTACAATTATTGTCTTCTGGCAATGGGACTAAATTTTCAGAGACCCTAAGAGTTAGGCTGCACCAATGGCAGCTGTTATCTCTACACAGGTACCTGGCAAGGATGAACAACCTATTACACAGACAGCAATAATTTAATAAAAAGGAATGCAGACTCTTTTGGGAGTCCTTGGCCCTGTAACCAAGGAGATGTTAGATACAAGGATAGTTTGCCTGCCTAATGAAATAGGCAATCTTGTTGAATTTAGTAAGGAACAGAGGTGCCTTGTGGGATATTACTAAACCTTCCCTTCAGAATGACAGCAGAAGCTGTGTTGAAGGAGAAAGAACAAAGGGGGTGGATAAGAAGGGAACACCCAGGACCACCAGTTGGTGTAATGGCTATGTCATTGGACTCCCAAGTAGTTGACGCGCGGTTTGAGTCCTGGACCTGGTGACTTAAACTCACACCGGGTGTGTCTATGTGCATGCCCAAGATCCCGAGAGGAGAAGTGATTGTGGAATGGCCACCCCCCCTGGGGAGTGATTTCTCGCATTCTGTCTCTCTGTCTCTTTCTGTCTTTCTGGTGAGCGCACATGCTCTATAGCAAAAACCTCTCAAAAAAAAAAAAAAAGGAATACCTGAAAACCTCTTCTTCCCTAGCTAGGTACTATTTGGACTCTGAAGCTTTGGCCCACCCATGATATGTTCCCAATGACAAATACATTTTTGGATCATGTTTAAAACACTATACAGCCCTGGAAACCATGCTGGTGTTTCTTATTTCTACAATGAGAGAGTGGAGAAAGTGAGAGCAGTTTATGTAATGATTTTTTTTGAGAGATTTTCGCTATAGGGTTGCGTGCGCTCGCCAGACAGACAGAGAGAGACAGACAGACAGAAAGTGAGAAATCACCCCCAAGGGGGGATGGTCACGCCGCAATCTCTTCTCCTCCATTCTCCTCTCGGGATCTTGGGCACGCACACACTCGCACCCGGCGTGAGTTTTAAGCCACCGGGTCCGGGACTTGAACTGCAGTCGACTACGTGGGAGTCCAGAGACATAGCCATTACGCTAACTGCTGGTTCTCTATGTAATGATTTTTAAAACTCAGATTTCTAGAGTTTTTAATGCCATTCCTACTATAAATAAGTCCAATGAAATCCCATCTATGGTCAGGTAAATTGGTCAGTGATATTATCCAGATCATAACTCTACTACCTTTCTGTGTTAATATAAAGCAACAGTCTAAAAGCAGAGAATTCCTGAGCACAGAATAAGCAACTACTGCTAAAATAGCAAAGAGAGACTATCACTGACAACAACTTAAAAATAATAACTGGATACACTCCTCTATAACTGAGTAAGGATCTCCCCAAAGAGATCTCTGTATCTGATTACTCAACAATGGTGGCTCAAAAGAGAAGATTAATGGACTCTTCACCAAGGAACTCATGGCCTAGCAATATACCTTTAGGGGTCCAATGACCGTCCTTTACCGTATTCTTGGTGATGGTCCCTGTGATAAATACTAATCTTTCTCCTTTTCCAGTTTGAAATGAAAGAATCCTACCAAGTTTTATCCAAATCTCTTGGTCTAGAAAATAAACAAACAAACAAACAAACAAACAAATACTATGAGATGGCCAACATCCATACATTCCAGTGAGGAATGGAGGACCTATATCAAAGTTAAATTCAGGTTGGACGTGGAAGCAAATTTCACTTCTTTGCTCTTTGGTATACAAGTGACTGTGATCCCCAAAAACCATGGCTCCAAAATGAAGGAGAAACAGATAATGCTGCCTGGTTTTCACTCTGAGGCCACCACCTTCATTACCCTTACCCATACCAGACTGTGGGTGGGTCCAGTCAAGTTGGTACATATCTCTACTGTTACAGCACCAACTAATGATAGACCATTGTTATAGATGTGCTGTTTATATCCACTCCTAACTGCAATCACCCTAAGTCCTGAGGAGAACTGCTGCAGTTAGGATCGCCTTAGTGGGGCATGTGGAAGACTGTAAACCTACCAGACTGCAAGCTTTTGACTACCAGGTTAGGTGCTTTCATCCCTAAAAAACAGTATTATCTCAGGGATTAAAAAAAAAAAAAAAAAAAAAGGAGCTGCCCCTGTGTTTAAGGAAGCCAAATTTCACCATCTGGCTTTTGCTGCTGGCCTGGGGGTGCCTGAAAACTCAATTATCAGTAACTCAATAACTGTTGTGGTTTCAATGTGTGTGCCCAAAATTCACATGTTGAAATTGGGTGAGTCATTGCAATGGTGTTGAAAGGGGGAGACTTAATCCAATTATGATATTAAAAAGTAAGGTTTTTAGGAGGAACTCTCACTCTATTGGTTCTTCCATATTTCAGAGTGTGTAATGCTGCATGGTCTTGGGTACCGAGGTCACAGCCTTATTGCTAAGTCATACACCTGGCTATGCAGATCTGGTGGGATTTCCATCAGAAGTGAAGATTTGCAGGCCAGCTATTCCTGGGGCAGATTTCACTTTAGCAGCTGTTCAGTTATCAAAATAGCACTGCTCTAACCTGAAACTTGGGGTTAACCAGGGTCAGTCTTCTCTGGAGTTCTTGTAGATCTCTGAAGGTACCCATTATTGGATCTGGGACATGTAGAGTGCCAGACACCCAGGCAGCTAGGAACATCCTCCATAGTGATATCAGAGGTTGCAAGGATCAACATTCCCCAGCAAAAGGAAGTTTTCTCTAATTCTAGACTGCAGATCCCAGCCAGCTGGGCATTCTAGTTCCTTTTCTATGCAGTTGCTCTTACGTTTCCCCATTTCAGAAAACTCTGGATCTTTCCCTGATTATTGCAATTGTTCTTCTTTAGAAATTTTAGTCAAACTTTATCTGAGTAATTATGATTTTATACCTATACTGGAGAGAGGAGTAATGGGTGGTTCCCATTGGCCTAGGACCCTTCCCCTCAATCCAGATGGTAAATGACAAATTCATGGGCATAAATAGAGCAGCTACCAATATAGCAATGTTTGACCAGGTGTTAGGATCATCTAAAAATGATACCTGGTCACCCTGGATGATCTAAGAAAGGACTTTCCTCTAGGTCTTAGTTTCTGAATAAAAAGCCTTTAAAGGAGGACACTGATGAACTCTTTGCCAAGGATCTTCTTACCAGGTAGTAGGTCACAGCTCCACTAAAATCCAGTGTGGTGACTCCTTATGACAATTGACCTTCCCTTTGAGCCTCCCAGTGATATTGAAATGAATCAGAGAAGCCACCTCTAATTTTGTTCAGATCTCTGAGCTTTCATAAACCAAGACCAGAAGTTAGGCCAAAATCCCTATGTCTCAATCTGAAGATTTATGCTAATGGGGAGGTGGGAGAAAATTGCATTTCTAAGGCCCTTAGATAGTGGTAACTTTGATCTCCACAATCTTGAACTTCAGAAAATGGGGGAAAGAGATAAAGCTCCCTGGTTTTGCATCTGAGTCCACCACCAAAAAGACGCTTGATCAAATACTACGGTGGAGGTATCCTTTTAGACCACAACAAAACTCCACTTTTACACTCAACTGATTTCAGTGGTGCAATGCATAGAGTCTTAACACTAGTGATACATGGCGTTGTGACTGTCATAGAGGCTATTTTCCAAACAAAAAACTCAGTATGCAACAATTAATATCTCAAATGCCCCTTTCTGTATGCTTTTACATATTGATGTTTAAGGTCAGTTTACCTTACGTGGAATAAGTTGCAATACACCACTAATATCCTTCCATAAGGGTACTAAATTGTTCCAATATTTGTCATCAATGTATTGGTCGTAATCTCTAACTAGGTGTTCCCAAAGGGAACACTAGTCTATTATATTTATGTTATCACTTAAGTGAGCTGAAAGAGCTGAAAGACATCACCCAAAACAGACTACATGTCCTGCTGATTCACCAGTGGCTCTTAGCTGGGCCATTTGAAAAGATATAGTATATTTACCTAGCACTCCAGTGACATTCCTGGGATTGACCTCTAAGGGGCATGGCATCTCATTCTACAAGAGACTGTCATAACTGCTGTCTCTACTCCAACGGAAAAAGGGCCCAGCCACTAGTGGGATGATTCAGATATTTACACTCCCATTTTCCTCATGTTCTTGATGACATCTATGGGGTTACCAAAAAGGCTGTTTAATTTCAGAGGGACCATGACCAAGAAAATACCCTAGAGACTTTAAAACAGGCTTCTCACACTGCCTTCCCCTAGGTTCTTCTGATCCACGTTTGCTGTTTGAGTTACAGATCTCAACAATATTCCTGTTTAACCATGGCAGAAGGTCACTAACCACAGGTCAGAGGTGCACATTTGTTTTTTAGACCCATAACTACTTAGAATCAGCCAAAAGACACATTTTGGCAAGATAATTATTCATTTGTTAGAGGGCATTGGGGACTACTGCACGTCCTAAGATCATAAAATATTCTTAGGGCCAGAAATCCTAACTAAAGAGTATCATTGCTTTGTTTTTTCTTTTTTCAATAATTACATACAGTAGGGTATTCACACTTTAGTAAAAGTGTAAAATGTCTGTAAAATATATGTTTATATGTATGTATATTCATGAACCAGATTAAAAATATCTCCTGGAGAGCTTAATTTAAAATAATTTTAAATAATATATAATTTTTATACTTACTATAAGTAACTATTTCTCCACTGGGGGTTCTTTGTTTGATTATTTCCCCAATGGGGATTTTTTGTTTCTTCACCTGAGTTTTTGATTTTGATACTGAGTCTTGATGCTTAAGATTGTCTTCGGATTCTTCAACATGAGCTAAATGTTCAACATGAGCTAAATGTTCAACATGAGATAAATGTAAAGCAATACATTTATCCCAGTAAATAAAAAAGAGATCTATCTGAAATCTCTAAGTTTCAAATTTATAACAAGTGTACAGAAGCATTTTTTTTCCATTTTTATAAATGTATTAGTAAGTTACCATAATGCTACATCTGCTATGAAAATTGTGAGAAGAGTGTTAATGAGTCTTTGTTGAAGCTATCTAATCATGTTATTTATATTCCTATGATTTACATATGTTTTATACTAGTCTCTAGTTTTCTTAGTTTTTTTAAAATATTTTTTAGTTAATACATATTCTTAGACCAAACAATGGAATGTATTTGCACAAAGCTATTCATTACAGTAAATTCGTAATTGCAAATACTCAAAACCACTTAAGTGTGCAAGCATAGGAGATTGGCTAAATAAAATAAGGTATAAAAACCATGATAATGTTTACTATGGGATATTCTGTAATCCTAACAACTGTATGGACAGAAGGGATGAAAAAGATCCCTGTGGGACCAGCAGTTAGCGTAATGGCTATGTCGCTGGACTCCCATGTAGTCGACCGTGGTTTGCGTCCTGGACCCAGTGGCTTAAAACTCACGCCGGGCACGTGTGCGTGAGTGCCCAAGAGCCTGAGAGGAGAATGGAGGAGAAGGGATTGCGGCGTGGCCATCCCCCCGGGGGTTGATTTCTCGCTTTCTGTCTCTCTGTCTCTCTCTGTCTGGCGAGCGCACGTGCCCTATAGCAAAAAACCTCGCCAAAAAAAAAAAAAAAAGATCCCTATTAACTGACTTAGAGGTGCTTCTATGAAATAACGTCTAGAGGAAAACAACTGAAAGAAGTATCTTTTAAGTAAGAAAGAAAATGAAATGAGATAATATACAGAGATATTTATCTTGACAGAATAAAACACGGGAGTAATAAACCACAAAACAAAGTAGTTGGTCACCAAAAGTCATTCCAAACGTTGCTTGCTGAGCTGCACCTGATGACTACTGTTAACTCGCACTGACAGCCCATGCTGACACAGTGAGTCTTTGAGGCTCATGTTTAATTAGAAAGGATGTAGATCTATCAGGTTCAGTTTGCCAGTGACCTGAGGAAACTAGAAAATTGAGTCGTTTTCTTCTACCATAAAGAAGTTTATCTTTTTAGCTTAGTATGTAACAGTAGCACCTTTTCTGGTATCAATACATACCATTAAAATTCTTCTCACAATTTTCATATCAGATATAGCATTATGGTAACTTACTAGTAATTTTTTTTTCTTTTTTTCTTTTTTTGGAGAGGTTTTCATTATAAGGTGCGTGCACTCGCCAGCAAGACAGAGAGGTAGAAAGCGAGAAATCACCCCCCAGGGGGGATGGCCACTTCGCAATCCCTTCTCCTCCATTCTCCTCTTGGGACCTTGGGCACAAATATACATGCGCCTGGAATGAGTTTAAGCGACCAGGTCCAGGACTTGAACCATGGTCGACTACATGGGAGTCCAGTGACACAGCCATTACGCCAGAGGGCTGGTCCCACTAGTAAATTTGTAAGAGTGAAGGGAAACTGCTGCTGTGCACTTGTCACAACAGATCCCCTTATTCTAGATGTTCTTTCAGCATTCAAAGAGGATGAGGAAAGGGGCAGAAAAGACACAAACACTAGAGACACTCTCCTTCCTCTACTGAGCTACCATTTGTTCTCTCAAGGTTTTGGTCCACCCATGGTAAGTTCCCTGTCACCATAAAAGTTATCTGTAGTAGTTACAGTAATGGAGCTTCAAGGAGAGCTTGATGGACTTGCCACCTAGGATCTTTTGGCCTGGTAGTAGGCGACGGGGGCCAACTACCCCCACTACAGTCAAATGATGATGATAACTAAGACTAGTTATTCAAGTCTATTCTCTCTTCAAATGCTATTCTCTCTATCCCTTCTAGTAATCTTAAAATGAATTAGAAAACACAGCTTGCATTTACCTAGAAGTCTCAGCTTTCCAAACTAAACAAGACGAAGAGTTAAGCCAAGGTCACTATACCCCTAGAGGCCTCTGAAGATGTGTGCTAAGTCAGAATTAAAAAGATGGTAGTAGGGAATTGCATAACTTGACCCATCTAGACAGTAACTTACTATGACTGATCACAATCTCTGAAACCACGGTGAGGGAAAAATAGACAATGCTATATAGTTTGGGGGTCTACAGCTACCAAAAGTATGACTTTTATCCAGACCTGACTACGGGTTGGTCCTCTTGGGCCACTATGAATCTACATCTTTATGGTTCTCACTACTGAACATATTACTGGCATACACGTTTTTTTTTTTTTTTTTTGAGAGATTTTCACTGTAGGGCACGTGCGCTCGCCAGACAGACAGAGAGAGACATAGAGACAGAAAGCGAGAAATCACCCCCCAGGGGGGACGGTCACGCCGCAATCCCTTCTCCTCCATTCTCCTCTCGGGATCTTGGGCACGCACGCACACGCGCCCAGCGTGAGTTTTAAGCCACCGGGTCCGGGACATGAACTGCGGTCGACTATGTGGGAGTCCAGCGACATAGCCATTACGCTAACTGCTGGTTCCCACATACACATATTTTTAATGTGAACCCCAACTCATATCAGCCTTAATCCCTGATGGGAACTGCTGCAGTCAGGGTCAGTTTAGTCCGTATGGAGGACTATAAACTTGCTAAACTATAAGTATCTTATATTTTGCCTCCAAAAACAACTGTCTAGGAGGAAAAACGGAATCACTGCCCTCACTGCTCAGTTTAAGGCAAAGATCTTCATGAGACTATACATTCAATAACTAAGTTGACCTATCTGTACGGTTTTGGGTGCCTATAGAATAATGATTATACCAATGATTGAGCTATATTTGTAGTATTCCTCTTTCAGCTGGCCAGTCCACACAGATAAGCAGGATCAGTTTGACTCACATGGAAAGGGTTGAAATACCTTGAATAACCATTCACATAGCCATGTTCTGGAAAAAACTGTGTCCTCACTAGCCTTCTACTATATTGATGACACCTTCCTGGTAGGTGTAGACAAGGGAATTACCCAACAAGTACTGAACATTGTATTGACCCACATGCAGCTAAATAGCTGGACCATTAATACAGATGAAGTATAAGAATGATGTACACAAGTGAAGTCCCTAAGAATAAACTAGAAAGGGACATTATGTTTCACTTCATAGGAGGTAACTGCTAAACTTTATTCCTTCTCAGTCCCAGGAAATATGAGGGACTTTAAAGGTTTATGAAAAAATGCAGTTAAAATATAAGTTTATTTTGGTGTAAAAAAAGTTTTAAAATTCAAGCATAGTTTGATACTATGCATTTTCCATGAACTTTTGAAGGGCCCCTTGTACAAAACAGGCTGAGAAACTCATAAGCCTGTTCTGTTATTGTCACTCTCAAATTCTCCTTGATGGGATCCTGATCACAGCCATCTATCTATTAGGTTACCAAAAAGAGCTCTAGCCTTTGAGTGGGTCCCAACTAACAGGATGTCCAGTAGGCCATCTAACAGGCCTCCTAGCCTATTCTTGCCCTTGTTTCCTCTGATTTATATTTGAGTGTATACCACAGCAAAGTTTCTGTTTACCACATGAAGCTCATGGGAGTCCACCACATAGGTCAACAGAGTGAATTGGGTTGCTGAACCTGTAACTTACTGGAGTACACAGAAAGACATATACCCTTTGAAAAACTCATTAACTTTTATTGGTCTACATGGATACTGAGCACATAATCATTGCTGTCAGATAGCGTTATCACCAGAAATACTAACCAAAAGTAATGAGCACTTTGACTTTTGTTCTCTAGTTATCTTAACATATTTACACTTTCAATTAGGGTTAAACTTCCTACAAAATATAGTAAAATATAGATTCATTAACTGAAGAAAAAGATCTTCAGATATGGCTCATTTAAAATAACTTATAATCATCTATAATGTTCATATTTACCAGTGACTCCTTCTGTTTTAGAAGTTTCTTTTGCCTTTAGCAATTTTTTTTTCAACACGGATTCTTGCAAAGGCATACGATTTGCATCTGGTACAACATCATGAGCTATATAAAGAGATATATTTAGTCCACTAAATAGAAAAAGAATCTGCTTTGAAATCTCTCAATATGTCAAATTTATAAGAAATTAGTAGCAGCATTCTCTTTATTTTAATAATATTATAAATATATTATCATAATGCTAAATCTGATAAGAAAATGGTGAAAAGGATTTTAATCGATGTATATTGATGGTTTCTCATGACATAAGCATTTCTAGGCATCATGTATAGTAGTATCAGTCTCTGTTTTTCTTGTTTATTTATACTTTATATGGCTGGCCTTGTAGCCTAGTGATTAAGGGAGTCAGATTCCACATAGCCAACTACAGTTCAAGTCACAGTCCCAGAACCTTGAGAAACACACGGAGTGCTTGTGCTTATGTGCCCCAAATCTCAACTGAAAGGAGAAATGGAGGAGAAGGGATTGCAGCATGACCATGCCCCATTGAAGGGTGCTTTCTCTGTTTCTGTCTCTCTGTGGGGAGCACACACACTTTCTGGCAATTATCATTCTTTGTGTTAATTTATATTTTATAGATTATGTAAATTTCATAGACCAAACAATGAAAATGCATATGGACAAGTTTATTCATGATGGTATTATTTATTACTACAAAATACTCAGAACTATGTGAGTAAGTGAGATTATGGAATAGGCTAATGCATATACTAGAAACTATGATATATAATGTAAGTGATAATAAATTGGTACAAACAACAGTACATAGAGTTGTTAAAAGTATTAAAAAGGTCTTGATAAGCTTATTTTGAAGGATGTCAGGGAGATAAATGGGGAAAAAAACTGAAAGGGGGAAAACTTGTATTCTACCATTCAGATAAGGAGGAAGTAAAATAAGTGAAAAAATAAATAAAAAGAGACTTACTTACCTTTACAAAACAGACCATGGGTGAAATATCAGAAAATGATATAGTTTGTTACCTACAAGCTGAAAGGGGGAGAACTAGGAAAGGAATGGTATTCCTCTAAGTATATCTTTTTTGTATTTTAACAAATTTTTGGAATCCAGTTCAGGTTCCACATATTTCTTTTTAAAAATTATTTTATTTATTATTAAAGATATTTTTAAATTTGCTGTAGGGCATATGCACTCACCAGAGAGAGAGAGAGAGAGAGAGAGAAAGTAGAAAAACAAGCCATGGTCACCCATGTAGGTAGGAGTCCAGCATCTGAACCACCATGCCACCTACTCATCCAGGTTCCACAAACTTCAAAAATTAACTTATAAAGGATAAGAAGAAGGAACCAAAACTGAAAGCAAATTGAAAGAAATGAAACTACTGAAAGATAAAAATAACTAATGCAAGTAACTCATTAATACAGTATTTGACATATACCCTCACTCATGGGCAAGTATGTGGAGAAAAAACTAAACACACATAGCACAAAATATTTTTAGTAGGTTTTTTTTTTTTTTTTATAGGGCGCATGTGCTCGCCAGACAGACAGAGAGAGACATAGAGACAGAAAGCGAGAAATCACCCCCTGGGGGGATGGTCACGCAGTAATCCCTTGTCCTCTGTTCTCCTCTCAGAATCTTGGGCACACACACACACGGGCCCAGCATGAGTTTTAAGCCACCAGGTTCAGGACGTGAACTGCGGTCAATTACATGGGAGTCCAGCTACATAGCCATTATGCTAACTGCTGGTCCCAGTAGTTTTGTTTTTCTAGAAGTATGGGCTAAGCAATTCTAATATTAAGAGTATGATAAGACTGAACAAATACATGAATGTGTTATGAATTTGGATTCACAGAGTAGAAAAAAAGAATATATAAATATGAAATGGAGAAAGGCAAAAACAAGTCATGAGGAAATGGACTCGAATTGAAGGTGTCCAAAATTTATCATAAATTCTCAATGTGCAGATGTATATCCATGTTTTTTATGTGTACATGTATAGATATATATGAATATGAACATATTGGGTCATCAGAAAAGTCATGACATATTTTTCGATGTTTTTCTATTCAAACACATGTCTTGACTTCTGACAACCATGTGTGTGTGTGTGTGTGTATATATATATATATATATATATGTATGTGTGTGTATATATATATATATATGTATGTATATATGTATATACATACACACCCACACATTGAGGAGTCCAATAACAAACCTTCTGGATGATCTTTCAGGTCTAATCATAGATAATTACAAAGCCATTACAAGCATTACTTGGCAGGGTTTTGTGTATTTTTTTTTTAGAAGGATTTTTGCTATAGGACACATGTGCTCACTGGAGACAGAGAGAGACACAGAGAGAGAGAGAGTGAGAACTCACCTCCTAGAGGGGATGGCCACTCCACAATCCCTTCTCCTTCATTCTCCTTTTGGGATTTTAGGTATTTATGTACACGCACCCAGTGTGAGTTTCAAGCTTCTGGGTCCAGGACTCAAACTGCAGTTGGTCATGTGGGAGTCTAGCACTGTAACTACTATGCCACCTGTTGGTCCCATTACTTGGAAATTCGTAGGACGAACTGATTCCCAGAAAGAGACTTGATGCTCAACCAGTATACAACATATGCTGTAGTATATGGACTCAGATCCTGCTAACCGCCACAACCCCGGGGACTCAGTCTCAGGATTCTGCATTCTTGGCCTAGTTGCTGTCAACTGGAGGCATCATTATAGGGGAAAGTAGCTTGACAGACACCCTACTGCTCAGGCACTACCTCTACCTAAACCACCGTATGTTAACAGTGAGGGGAGGGGTTGAGTGTTGTTTTTAGGGGAGCCCTGAACAGATTTTTTTTTTCCAGTTTTGACTCATGACCTTTTCTATCCTGGCCCTCCTATTGCTATTCCCCACAAATAAGGGATCCATAAAACAGAAGGAGCCTCTCATTTGGGGCTACTTCAACTATGAGACAATTTTCCCTTTCATCTTACTCCAGGTCTGCATTAATATGTCTTACCTTTCACTGTTCCAAGGATAAAAAATGGAACACTGGTGGAGCTGAGCCCTTTTACTTTTTAAACTCTTCCTTTCACAATTGCAGAAAGTGAACAAAGTTTCATTGCTATTTTCGGTTTTGCTTAAGTGGTCAACTAAAAACTTGACACCTCTCTCAGATTAGTACAACAAGGTCAATGAAGCAAAAGTCTGCAGTGCGCTTATAAGACACTCTGTGGTGCGATGGGAGGAGGATAAGGGATACTGGGTCATTTGCAAGAGTCTGATACCCCATAGATGATTCACCAGTCGGTACAATTTGTTTTAGGCAGTACCCGCAAACCACACTGTATGCTCTAAGAGAGTAGCATTTTATTGTTTACCTTAGCTTTTCAGTTCTGGTCCCTCTCTTCAGATTCATTGTTCAAAACACCTGATTGGTCAAATTAGAGATTCACCAGAGAGCCTCTGAGAAAGCTAAAGAAGCAATCTATGGCAACTGCGTAGGGTTCACTGGCAATGAGACATAAAAGTTATTGAAGGCCAGCCAGTGATGTGGTGGTTAAGGCAAATGGATCCCATATGGCCAATAGCAGTTAAGTCCTGGACCAAGCAGCTTGAAAAACATGCTGGGGAGTGAGTGTGTGTGTGTGTGTGCATGTGTGTATGTGTGTGTGTGTGTGTGTGTGTGTGAGAGAGAGAGAGAGAGAGAGAAAGAGAGAGTCCAAAAACCCAAGAGGAGAATGGGAGAGAAGGGATTGTGGCATGACCGTCTTCCCTAGTAGGGTGCTTTCTCACCACTCCCCATCTTTCTTTAGTGAGGGCACATGCCCTATAGCAATTTTTGTTTTTTAAATTAAATTAAAACAGAAAGCTGAAGACTCTGTATACTGATCCAATGACAATTGTTAGCTCTAAGCATGCCCCTGGAACTGATGGACAGAATATGATGCAGTGGAATTACTGATCATGGTGGTTTAAAGAAAAACAATGAGAGCCATGGGATAATTTTGCCCAGCAAGGAAAAGAAGTCTTAGAGATAATGGTTGTTTGCATCCATGTTGAAGGAAGTAATCTTTTTTTTTTTAATTTTATTTTTTTATTATCATCATCATAATCTTCTTTATATTACATTGGATTACATATAACTTTACAGTGTATTACATTGTTTTTTCAAAAGGGAATGCCATGCATGTCCGTCAGTACAGAGACATTAATCTCCCCACTTCAACATTCAATATCTTTTCTATGTTTTCCCCAATCATTATTTTTATTATTCTAATTATTTTTTAAAACAGTCAATTGCTATTTCTCATTTTGCTTGTAAAAATACTTTGCCCATCATGAAATACTTCTCAGACCAATCCAGTTGAGAATACTATACATGTCATCATCAACAGTTAATAAGCCCTATGAAGGAAGTAATCTTGTTAAACTCAGTGAAGGAGGAGGGGCACATTGTGAGGCTTATCAATAAGGAACCTCTTCTTCAGAGAACCTTGACAATGGCCATATTGCTTGAGGAGGTAGGAAAGAGAAGTGAATGATACAAATGAACATCTAAGTACCTGTTTCTTCCTCAATTGAGTACTATTTTGTCTCTGACAGTTTGGCCCACTCATAATGAGTTTCCTGTCACTGAAAAACATATTTAAACCACTCTTACAGAAGAGAGTGTTCCTTTGAGCTACTGCTGGTTCTAGGGTCTAGTAATGAAGACAGTAGATAATGAGACTTTTAACTAGACTCAAATTTTTAAATTAATTCATGCCCTTACTGAACACTAATTCAATGAAACCTCCTCCTAGGGTCAGGTCATTGGGCATGACACAATCTAGATTTTAACAAATTATAAGGCATGGAATATCAGCTACTGTCAAAGAACAATAATTGACTAGTAGTGAAAGCAATGTAATAAATGGTCATCAGGCACCTATCCCTGGACAATCCAGACAAAAGCCTTCTTGACAAGCTCTATGGGGATACCTAAAAACAAGATATCAAAGAAGTAGACTGATGGGCTCTCTATCAGTGAACTCATTGTCTGGTAGTGGCCCAATGGATACCCCCAAAATGGCTGAAGTAGGGTGCATGTGGTGACTGACATTCCCTATGACAATACGAGTTCCACTGCTCAGCTGTTTTAGTTGAATGCTGCCATGAATTTTAGAGTCAACCAACCTTTATCCAGAACAATGAATTTTAAAAAATGGATTAAAAATGAACAATACTATGGGTTAGGTCAGCTCCCTATGTCGCCAGTGGGAACATTAAGACCTGTACTAAGGTCAGAATTTAATGAGGAAGTGGGAAAGAATCAATATTTGTTGGGTCTTTTGGCTATTAATACATATGTGACTGTGATCTCCATCACTCTGATGCCAAGATGAGAGGGAAACACATAACGTTCACTGGTTTGGGGCCTGGGGCTACCACTGGTAGCATCTATATGTGTTACTAGTACACATGATTTGTTGATGTGAATACTACTCATATTAACCCCAAATTCCCAATGGGAATTTCTACAGTTAGGCCATTTTCACTGGACATGTGGGAAACTCAACCTACTAATTTTTGGTGACTAATGTCTTTGTCTCCCAAAACAAGTCAGTGAGGAAGAAACAGAAATAACTAAACTAACTGCTGAAATTAATGAAGTAAGAGTTCCCCATGAGACTGTTCAACTATCCAGTAATCCATTCAACAAATGTCTTCAGCCTTGGGTGTGTAGACTCAACCGATACATACAGCTCACATTGTGACAGAGTCTTTACACTTAAGGTATCTGAGTTGTGACTGTCATGCATACTACTGTTCAAACTGAGATAACTTGCTATGTAGCACCTATATCACAAATGTTCTTTTCAGCATTTCTTTATACAAGATAACCATGATCAGTATACGTTATGCCATAAACCACTAATATATTTCCACAAGGCTACCAAAATTCTCTGAATATATGTCCATTATTATAAAAGTCATTGTATGCAAAATGCCCCCTCTCAGAGGGAGCAGCAGACTTTCACTCTATGACCCTGTCTTCATGGGCCCACACAGAGGCATCATTAAACCAAGTCTAGATAGTTTGCTGATTCACATATGGCAATTCAGCTGGGCCATTATTATTAGGTCATCGAGAAAGTCGTGAGGTATTTTTCTATGTTTTCTATGCAAAAATTCATCATGACTTTTCCAACAACCCAGTATACGAAAGGTAGCTACTTAGTATCCTAGTGAAATTCCTGGCATGCTCTGCAAAGGGTATAGAGTCTCATTCCAGAGAAGATAGCCAAGTGCTGGCCCTTTCTGCTCCAGTGAAGAAAAAGGAGGCCCAGCAATTAGTGGGACTATCCAACTTGCATTCTCATATTCCCAAGATGGAGTCCTTGATGTCATCTCTCTATGGGGTTATCAGAAAGGATGCTTTCTTTTCAATGGGGCCACAGTCAAACATACTAAGGCCCTCCCACAGATTGCCAGGTTGCATTTTCCCTGGGTTGCAAATTCCCATTTGCTGTTGGAGCTACAGATCTCAGTACCCTCTCTATTTAATGACTGGAGATTATGACACAAGGTCATTACCACAGGATGGAAGCACCTACTAGACAGTGGCACATCCTGGGTTTTTGATTCTGTGATTTGCTGGAGTCAACTGAAAATACATATCTTTAGAAGTATATTACTGGCCTATGATATGTTTTTGGTGAATACTGAATGTTTTTCCTATGGTTGGGAAATAATCATAAGACCAGAAAATACCAACCAAAGGGTATGAACATTTTAGCCTTTATTCTCTAGTTATCCTAGGGTACTCACACGTTAGGTCAAATTGTAAAAATTCACATATTTATGTGTTCAAGTAATATTTATATACCAAATAAAAGTAATCTTCTGATGAGCTTGAACTAATTTAATTTATAATTGTACTTACAAGTTAGTCTTTCTCCCTTAAAAGTTCTTTGTTTCTTTACTATTTTTGAATCTTGATGCTCAGTCACAGGATTTTCATATAGTTCTTCTTTATTACCTAAATAAAGAGATATATTTAGTACACTAAATAGAAAAAAGATCTATTGAAAAATTAGTAAGTGCTATAGTTTGGCTATCCCTTTAAATTAATATGTTGGGAATTCATTGTATTGTAAAGATGTTAAGTGAAAAATTAATACCTTCATCATGTCTCAGGGTGGGGCCTTTGGATGTCACAAAATCATTAGGGCAGGGCCCTTATTACTGAGTTCTGGTAGGCTTATAAGTAGAAAGAATGAGACCAGAACAAGCAGAACCTTGTAGATAGCTGCTTTGCTTAAGAGCCTTCTCTCTGCCATGTTGTAGCCTCACAAAAAGATAGATGACCTCTGGACCTTGGACCTCCAAACTAAGCTGAATAAACATCTATTTCTTTTTTTTTTTCTTTTTTTGGAGAGATTTTTGCTATAGGGCACGTGCGCTTGCCAGACAGACAGAGAGAGACAGAGAGACAGAAAGCGAGAAATCACCCCCCCATGGGGGATGGCCACACCGCAATCCCTTCTCCTCCATTCTCCTCTCGGGATCTTGGGCACGCACGCACATGCACCCGGCGTGAGTTTAAGCCACCAGGTCCGGGACGCAAACCGCGGTCGATTACATGGGAGTCCAGCAACATAGCCATTACACTAACTGCTGGTCCCAACACCTATTTCTTTATAAATTTCCTAGTATGGATATTTCTGCTGGCAATGCAATGATGAAACAAAACATTAAGCTTTGAATTTATGACAAGTGTATACTAGCATTTTCTCTCACGTAAAAGGTTATAAATGAAATAAACTTCTGTTATGTGAGATCTTACATGACAATGGTATACAAGTTTTAAGGGTTAAGTACTGAAGTTGCTTCCTTAATTTAAAAAAATTTCTTACACTAATTTTCTTACATTTGTCTCTAGTTTTCTTTTATTTATACTTTTGACTGATACATATTAATAGACCAAACAATGACAATGTATTAAGTTATCATTATGCATGAGGTTATTTTTTATTTCAATTTATTTATTTGCATTCATTCCCTGTACATCAATACAGCATACAAACTGAGATTTTCCATCCAGAGTACACTGTATATTGTCTCAATCAAGCACATCAACAAACATGTTGTTGTCAGCAAATGATCTTCCATTTCTTGTTTTCTGTATGTTTTGCTTTTTTCCCCCCATCCTTGATTCCCTATCTTTTACTCTCTGGCATCTCCCACTCTCCTCCCACACTGACTCTGGTATCTATGTTTGCTTTCTATACTGTTTTCCCCCCACGTTTTATTGAATCACCAAAGACCCTAATCAATCCAAATACCCTCATAGCAAACACAGGTGACACGCACGTTTCCATGAACACAAGTCTAACTTTACACATCCTATAAAGTAGCACCTAGCTAGGGCTACATATCCTACTGCATTCATTGAATAGATATATTTTTTTTCCCTGAAACTTTTTTTTTGTAACTCAATTTACATTCCTTCCCTAAGCATCATCACAGCACACAAAATGCAATC